TATGTATGTATGTATGTATGTATGTATGTATGTATGTATGTATGTATGTATGTATGTATGTATGTATGTATGTATGTATGTATGTATGTATATCAAAATAGATAAAATATGATATTACCTTATATTACATATCTATACTATATTATAAAGCATTTGATAAAAACTCTTAAAAACCATTTTTTATGCATGAAGTACTGTTTATTGATGCATATTTCTTAAAATTCAATATTAGAAGTAAATTGTGTGCAAGTACAACTTATTAAATCTTTATGTTTGAATTTATATAACTAACTGCATATAAACATAATCGGATAAAAGATAAATATTTCATTTTAAATATAAAAAATCAAAATAAAATTAGGATAATCATTTACTTTTAACAAAATACTTGATCATTATCTTTATAAAAAAAATTAAATAAAATAAAAAAAATAATTAAAGAAATATACAAAAACCAAGAAATTTTAAATAGTTAGTTTGATATTAATATCAATATTTTTTTCAATTTCTGATGATATCTTTATATTTATATTTTATTCAAAAATAAAAACATCATTATTTTCTCAAAACCAGATAAAACAGTATTATAAAGCAACTGGGATAAAAAAAAACCGAAACATTAAAATCGAGATATATCTTAATACATTTTGCGAATACCATCCTAGTTTTAATAAATTAAAAAAAAATTACGAAATAAAGTGAATCAACAACCGACGAGAGCACCCAGGTTACATTACATGTTGGGAACGGTTTCAATCTTCCAAGAGAAGACGGAAGAATGCTGCTTTTATCCGCCATCTCCAACTGTCACCCCACCTTTCCCCCTGCTTTAAACCAGGTCTCTCTCTCTCTCTCTCTCTCTCTCTATTATATATATATATATATATATGTGTGTGTGTGTGTGTGTGTGTGTGTGTGTGTGTGTGTGTGTGTGAAGGATCATGTGAGAAGGAAGGTTAAGGTGAGAAGCACAAGAAGTAATTTGGACCCTTGATCACCTTTAATCTCAAACTTACTCATGAATCGTGTTTTGATACGGGGTTTGATATGATCCATCTCATCCTGATATGCATCCAAGAGTGAAGATTTCTTCTTATACTACCCACCTTAACTCTATTTCCCATCGAAACCCGACCACATATATATATATATATATGTGTGTGTGTGTGTGTGTGTGTGTGTGTAGGTGGGAGTTCAACCGAGAACCCCTCTGTTTTACAAAAATGCAAGAACAATTATGGGTCTCTAACCTTTTTAACTAATTATTGAAGTTATATTAAATAAAAATATATCAATAAGGGTAGTAACATAATTAGGTATTTTTTACATTTTTTTATGTTATTTTAATTAATTATAATTATCCCATCATTTTAGATTGGAACTAATCACGTCGAATATCTCGTCTCTATCCTCATTACTCGATTATATGATAATCATGTGATAAGCAAGCACTCTGCAATTATATGCATTGAACGAACAAAACCATGTTTATCGATCAAAACAGAGGGATTATCATCGATTTACATTGTGAACGTGGCCTAGCTACACTATAATAATCATGTGATAAGCAAGCAATCTGACAATTATGTACGTTGAACATCAGTCGATTTTGGCATATTATTGTTGATAATTATACAAACTGTGTTTGTTGAACAAGACAGATGGGTTATATACAGTTTTAATTGTGAATGTGGCCTAACTAGACTGTGATAATCATGTGGCAAGCAAGCAATCTGACAATTACATACATTGAACATTAACATATCTAACATGAATTAACATGTGATAAGCAAGCAATATGACAAAACAGAGGGGTTATCATCGATTTACATTTTGAATGTGGCTTAACTACACTGTGATAATCATGTGATAAACAAGCAATTCGACAATTATATACATTGAACATTAATCGATTTTGGCATATTGTTGTTGATAATCGAGCAAATTGTGTTTATCGAACAAAACAGAGGGGTTATATATGGTTTTTTTTTTTTTTTTTTTTTTTTTTTT